ATGAATAAGATTTAAACATGGCTTCCAAGGCTAATATTAGTCATATTCAGTTGTAGGGTACAAAGGTAATTTTCATTAAATATCCTTAAGCAACTATGAAAAAACCTGTGGGGAGACAAGCTCTAAATCTGTTAATGTGGTGAAAGTCTCCTCTAGATACATTGCTTAGGACAGGTTACACCAGTTTTGCAGTAAAACGGGTCAGTAATCATGTAGCCTTAGTATATGAGTTCAATAAAAGGATGTTTTTGTCTGGAATCAATTATTCAACTTTGAAATAAATAGATACAATTGTTTGTAATGTAACCATTGAATTCATATCTAGAATACCTCAACCCTCAGTTAAAATAATCAAAAATATAAATATAATTTTGAGTGTTTTGAATGTTTTGTAATTGAAAAAAAGATAGTATGATTTCCCTCTCTTCCCTCATTTGAAACCCAGTTTGATTTAGTAGTCACACATTTCCATAACAAAGTCATAAGGATCAATATAAGTGTGAAACTATAGACAGTGAACTGATGGTTGGTTTTCAAATTATATCTCTATTATTTATGGGAGTATTTGAAATTACTGGAAAGTAGCCAGTGCTCTTTAAAATATTTCAGGACAGTATCTTTTTCTAAAGTACAATATTAAATACATAATTAATGAATAAATAACCTAGTTTTGTATAAATGAACCTTAAAGGGCAGTGCTCCAATATGATATAAAATTATATAGATAGTAACTACATACATTTTAAACTGTCAACTTTCAGGCTAGAGACATGGATCAGTGGATAATAGACCTTGATGTTCTTATGCAGGATCTGAGCTCAATTTCCGGTGTCCACACTGTACCCCACCACCATTTATAAATCCAACTTTCAGAGGATCCAATGCTGTCTCCTAGTTTCTGCAGAAATCCCCACCAGCACATCTTTTTCTACCAGACACTGGACACATGCATGTAAATGAAAATATTTTTGACCTCATACTGAGAAGTTTTAGTTTAAGTACTTGTAATACCATTAAAAGCTTGGATAGACTCAAAACGCTTCAAAGCTCAGCTGACCTGTATATTTTGATACTTCTGAAAATATTTATTGTGTATAGGAACTTTACTTCTTATTTTTATTATCCTGTTAGTATTTTCATTGTTGTTTAGCCATGATGGCATTTAACACGTGAAAGAGAGAAAATAGGCAAATTCCACACCACTAAAATGTAAGTCAGCAAGAGAAGAAAGGACTTAAACTTTGCTCACACAATAGTAGGAAACTGGAAGTCTTTGGAGTGATTATCAGTTGGACCATAGACTGTCAACGCATCAGATATGGGATGTAGTTATAAAACTCAGAGTGCACGTATTGGTAATACTACCACAAAGATGTATGCATGTGAATATCATTGTGTTGCAACACAAAATGCATGTTACATAATACTATAGTTCACATAAGCAAGAGGTAGTAACTTCCTATAGGCTGTATGTGAAGTTTCCACAAACAAATGAATGTAAATTGAAGTTACTTGAAGGGATTTCCATTGTTGAGAGCAGATTCCATTATTTGAAATTAACCAATTGTTTGAGTAAAAACTGGTCCCTATCTACTGACCCTTTTAGTTTATTCATTTTGATACAAAATCGACATCTCTGCCTACGGAAGTGCCTAGTTGCTTCTTATACAGAGTAAACTTTACATGCTACTTGATTAAAGTTTTTGCAAAACAAGATTAAGACAAATCTGATGTGGGATCTAAATCCAAAGAAGTTATAGCTATATTTTTTTTTATTTTACCATTGCCTCCTTTTATTAATAGCAAAGAGTTTTATAATGGTCAGTAGTCCTTTTTTGTGCGTTATGAATTCTGACACTGTGTCGGGTACAGAGCTAAGTACTTCATGCATACAACTCCTCCAAGTATTCTCTGTAATGGCATGGTATCTGAATCTCATTCCTTTTTTTTTTTTTTTAAGTTGAAAGGGCCAAGGGAGGATACCTCCACAAGTCTGCAAGCAATGGAGACTCCTTGAATTTCTTTTTGTTATTCTACAAATATAATAGTGGCAATTTCTTCCCACACATCAGCCTTCAGAAGATAGCAACTAAGGATGGCTCCTGACTGATGGGCTGGCCTTTCTATTTCCCAATGCTGTGCTTGTTGCCAGCAGGGTTTGGTTATCTCTGATCACCACCATCCTTTTGATTCCAGACTACAAAGACTTTTTTTTCGATAACTTAAATGGCAAAAGACCCAAACCGCACATTTTAAATTAATTTCATCTGCTATTGTATCTTGCATATGATGATATGTTTTGTTTTATTGATTCATTGTGGAAGTCCACAAAGACTCACCAATCACATAATCTATTCCCATCATTATATGATGTTGTGGGTAACAGCAAATGTGAGAGGGATGCCTCTTGTCACCTGTAGACATGGACATGATGAGAATAGAGAGTAGACTCTTAGGACACCATAGGACTGCTCAGCACAAGAGACCCCACAGTCAGCACACACACTGAACTTTGTTATTAGTAACCTTGTAATTTATGGCTTGTAATTTATGGTTTGATTATTTTTCTATACTTTCTAGAATGTTCTGGTGCTTTGTCTTATGTGGTCCCTGCACTCACATATGCATATCCCCTTACAGATACACTTCTCTGAAGTATGGTGCAGGGAATAAGAGTGCTGTGTTATAGCATGTAGACTTTAGATTAAAAGATAACTATTGCTGTTTTCTCTATCTATTATCTATTACAGTATATACTACATAGCATATGCTATATGTCATATATTGTATATCATATATCACATTATGTATCTTAGATCATATTATATAATCTATTATCAATTATTTATAGAATAGATGAATAGTAACAGTTTATATATGATACACACACACATATATATGTATATATATATATATATATATATATATATATATATATATTATCATCATCAATCATGAGCCATCCTAGGTTGATATCTTCTGAAGGCTGGTATGTAAAGAGAAATTGCCACATTTGTGGATATATATATAATACATACTATATTATAATATTTTATATATAATATATACCATTATATTATATATTATATAACATATAATTTTCTATATATCTACAATTAAAAATAAATCATTAAAATATCAAAAACACACATACACATAAATGCACACATATACACATAATACCATACTAATTATACCCAAATAAATGAGTGTATATGCTTATGAAACCTCAGCAAGTATACCTTGATGCCTGCAACCGAACTAAAGGCAGGAAAACATCTGTCACTCACCTCCTTATTGCCCTGAGTTGGTCCCACAGGCCCTGGAGTTAGGTCAACAGAAGGCAAGTCTCTGCAATGCTCCTGTTCCTACTGCTGCCTGAACTCAACAGTGGGATTGGGGCTATTATGACCACAATCAACCTTTACTCGGGTCCTGAACATTTGACCTTGATCTTGAAAGTGTTCACACCCGCGGATCTAGTCCTTTCCTCCATTCTTTTTTTTCATTAATCATTTTATTTGTTTACATTTCAAATGATATCTCCCTTTCCAGTTTCCTCTCCACAATCTTCCATCCCAATTGCCCTTTACCCCCTCCCCTTTGCCTCTATGAGGGTGCTCCTCCACCCACTCACCCACTCCCACCTCACCACCCTATCATTCCCCTATCCTGGGGCATCAAAACTCGACAGGACCAAGGGCCTCCCCTTCCACTGATGTCAGATAAGGCCACCCTCTACTACTTATGTATCTGGAGCCCTGGGTCCCTCCATGTATACTCCTTGGTTGGTGGTTTAGTCCTTGGGAGCTCTAGGTGGTCTGGTTAGTTGATATTGCTCTTCCTATGGGATTGAAATCCCTCCAGTCATTCCCCTAGCTCTTCCATTGGGGTCTTCGTGCTCAGTCAGATGGCTGGCTGTGAGCATCTGTATTGGTCAGGTGCTGGCAGAGCTTCTCAGGGAACAGACATACCAGGCTCCTGTCAGCAAGCTCTTCTTGGCATCAGCAGTAGTGTCTGTGTTTTGTGATTGCAGATGGGATGGGACCCTCCTTTTTCTCTAATAGAAAAGCAGCCTGGGAAAGAATCTGATGTGCATCTCAACACAACACCCTCACTGAAGACTCAGATACTGCTGGCGGAATGAAATATATTAGGTCACACTCTGGTCAAAATTTTCAGCTCTATTTTTACAACATAGTACTTTCAATAATACTTTCTTATCAATATATTTTTTCCTCAATGCAAATGTGTATGCCTTGTCCTTCTTTCTGAGGTTTAAACATTTTTTCTAGGTGACTAATTTGAATAATTTCTTGACATGGAGGACACTTTCTTGCCTGGTAGATTGAGTCTTCCTTCCCTGCTCACTTTACATGTTTAGGAGCTGGCTGTCCTACTAAACTGAATACTTAAAATCCATGCAAATTGCCCTTTTAAAATAGGAAAGGTAATATTTGCATTTAACCACAGGCTCCCTCAACTGTGAAAATGCAAATACAACTTTTGGAAGAATGTTTTTTTTTCTCTGATTTTGAACAAAAACTATGCCTCATTTATTTCATAGAGCAGCTCTCCTTTTTATAAGTCTTCAGACGGAATCCTGTATCCCACATCCTAATAATCTAGTAATTGCAGGGCTGCGGTCTCATTGCAGATGGATGTTTTCATTGAGACTTATTTGTAAAACACAGATCTAGTTTTATGATACGTAGGTGGGTTGCTATGACTCAAGAATGCTGTCCTTGATTACGCCTTTATCAATTGTTTGCAAGTACCAAAGTGGACAATGAAAGCTTTATGGTCGTTCTGCATTCAGCCAAGATAATTCTAGTAAAACTCTGGCAACTCTCTCTAGAATGAAATGAATGTAAAGTATTACTTCTTCTCTCCCCCACCCTCACCCTTGCTTGTTTAGTTGTTTCCTTATTTCATTAAGCCTAAATGCTTACTGAAGAGTCATTCTCTAAATGGGTTTTTTACTGCTTTTCATGTTACAGATTGAAAATGTCGATGTCTGCCTTAGTTTTCTAGCAGCCCGAGGAGTAAACGTGCAAGGTCTATCTGCTGAAGGTAAGACACTGTAGGGTCGTCACAAGTGGCTTTAGTGTTTCTGAAAGAGTTTTCATGTTAGACATGGAGTATTGCAGATCCCCTTAGTGAGTGATGGAGATTTATAGATGCATAAAGCAAACATGATGGCTCGTAGTATTAATATGTGCTTTAAGTATTTACATATTTTGCTTTTTCTAAAATTGCTTTTTATGTCAATGTACGGGTTGGAAAAGAATCAAAATAGCACTTATATATTATTGCTAACACGGAGAACTTTAACTTCTTAGATGGGTAGGTGATCATGTCAGTCCTGGTAATACATGTATATAAATGCGGGTAAACAGTACAATTCATGTACAAATATTTTGCCAATAATGCTTCTATGATATGACCAAGCTAATGTTAAATATATGTAAGTATTCATTAAGTGGCACAAAGAGTTATTAAATGCTTTGATTGACAGTATTAGTAAGTACTATTTGTAAATATTTTGAGATCATTACAGGTCAGATTTACATTTAATTTTAGTAAAAATTTAAATTACAATAAATTGCAATGTAACAACATGAAAAAACAAATTGGCCTGGCTTCCTTATTTATATCTGGGTTCAGAGACATTCTTCTACATATAAAGGTGACTCTACCTCATGTATAGCACAGACTTTGCCATAGTTAAAATGAAATAATATTTCTATTCTTGTGTCCTCTCTGCTATCAGCTATCATCGATCAGATTGCTACACATTTCTTTCCTTCACTCCATCTGTTTATTATTTATAGCATTAATATATTAATAAATGTATCTATTGTGTTTTATTTATTAATTCATTCTACTTGTTAATAAATCAAATTTAAATTAAGAACACTAGTATCATAGCTGTTAATATGTGATAAAGATTTGTCTAAATGGACTATTAGTGAAATAGCTAGTCCTAATAGAGGTGATTTTAAGGTATTATTAAGATACATTTACAAAATTTCCAAAACTACAAAAGTTTGAAATAGTAAGTCCTTTGAGCCCTGCAGAAATGACAGTAATTAGGAAGCTAATATCTTTAATTTTCTTATGGATAATAGATACTATTTTATTATTTTAACCTTTCCTGTAAGTAATTTGCCTTGGAAACATTTTCTGTAATCAAAATTACAAATATTGAAGAGTTTGAAGTTTTAAATGTTGCCATCACTAGAATAAAATAATTGTGACTTTTTTTAGTATGATAGACATTTAATAGAATTATTTCACTTTCTCAATTTTCACCATATTTTAATTTTTCACTAAGCATTTATATTTACATGAAAAAACACTATGGTATGTAATTCAGTGACATTTTCAGTGGATAATAGGCTGAGATTAAAATCTCACTGTTGGTTCTATTACTTACAATAGAATTGGAATAAAATTCATCTCTGACTAGATTTTGCTAAATAAGTAGCCAAAAGGAGGCAAGGAATGTTTCCGTTGTTCATTTTGTATTTCTTGCATATCACACACCAATTTTAATAGTATAAATTTATTGATTTTCATTTGTTCTTTAAAAATATATGCATTGCCAAGAAATACATTCTAAATTAGGCGTACATATAGTAAGACTGGAATGAAAAAAGCCTTTTGAATGAGATCGCTTAAGTTTACAGGAAGAAAAAACAATCACTATTTTCTCATGGTGGCCTCATTGATCAAAATGACTCTCATACTTTATGGAAATTATAAGGACTGTTAAAGGTAGGAAAAAAAGATAAATCCTAGGGACAGTTTGAGGGATTCAACGAAACTAAATAGGGTTAGCTTATAAGTCATCAGTGAGCAAAACCCACAGGTCTTGTTAGTAGTATACCTAAACTCTAGAAGGGGCCATGGCACTTCAGGGGAGCCTATTTAGTGACTAACAGTAAGTTTTATTTAAAATCTGACCATGCATGGTGCTCCATTTCAGGGTTATCTTACATCCTGTCTCCCGGTAATAGGTTTATAACTTCAGAAGTAAAGGGGACTGGGCCATGGGCACACAGTGAGCGTGTTATGTCAGAAGAGTTGTAAGGGGAGAAAGAATGTAGATTATGTTTAAAAATATGTGATGTATTTGTATAAAAATTTCAAGCTTATCATTATATATGTTAAAAATTAACTTTGTGTTGCAGCTGAATTTGGGCATGTAATTTTTTTTACACAGCATTGGAAAATATCATACAGAAGCCCTATGTGTTTCAACTGATATTTATTAAATAAATGCCTTAAAGTTATGTAAGCTAATCATTATTATCTAGTAGCATATAGCATGAAACAAAAGGAATACTAGTGTGCACAACTATACAATAATAATAAATATATATAATAATATACAATAAGCATTTCAGAACTGATATGATATATGCTTTCAAGACCTGTGCATATCTTAAGTATATACATCAAAACATGTGACCAAGCTGGCTCATGGTGATTTGGAAAGAATGTTGATTTCTGTAAACCTAATTTGATCTCATGAGATATAGCCACAACACCATTATTTGTAGCTGCGAGATGATAGATATTTAAGTCGTATCATTTCTCCCTAGTCAAGTCTATGTGAGCAACAGCTATGTACACTGTTGAGGGAAGCAATGTGCAAAATCAAATGGCTTCCCCAAGACAGTGAACACATCCTCTTCCAAGAGTAAGGAAAACCACAACCCAAAGAGCATCTTTGTTTAGCGGTATTTCTCCTTTCTGCTCCCTGCGCCCCTTCTCTCTGTGATATCTCAAGCCGCTTTGTAATGTTGGCAGAGTTGAGAAATTCAGACTCAACTGAAACTGTGAATAAGAAGACCCACTTGTATTTTCATCCTTGTAAATCTGGTTGAAGAGATGTACATCTAGACTTTTATCCGTACAGGAAAATCAACTGCAATGTATTTGACCGTGGTTTACGTTTCTCCGTTTGATACAGAAATAAGAAATGGAAACCTAAAAGCCATCCTAGGGCTCTTTTTCAGCTTGTCTCGCTACAAGCAGCAGCAGCATCATCAACAGCAGTATTACCAGTCTTTGGTGGAGCTTCAGCAGAGAGTGACTCATACTGCTCCTCAGTCGGAAGCCAGCCAGGCCAAACCCCAGCAAGATATGCAGTCCAGGTAAGGAAAGGAGGCGAGGAATACATTTAAAATGAGTTTGTTTAGACATGGTTTGACTTTCTAAATGATCGTGAGTTCGTAACTGTGCTTATGTGCTTTTATTTTCATATGACCCAAACACATGACTTGTGGATGTAAGGCTCAAAAACTCTTCTCGGATCTAACAAGAAAGACCTATCATATTCTTAAGGCACACAATTGTGTTTATTTTCTAACGGTGACTTTTATATATCTAATCATATAAGGTGTCCTTAGTGGAGGTAAGTTCATTTCTTCCTCATGCCAATTAGTATATACAACGCGCCTTTTGTGTCCTGGTATCCTGAGGTCTAGTTAGCTTTTATTGGTAGTTTGAGTTGATTTAATCCGTCAAAAGTCAAGGGATATCATTCGCAGTATCTTTGACTATTTGAGAACTTATTAATTTTAAAGATTAAGTATTGTGTATATATCTGAATCTATGTACATGCATATATTTATATAGCTTGAATTTTGGTCTGTGTAGGTACAGTCTATGTCATTAGCAGGGGCAGCTAGGAAGTGAAATCTGAAAGGCAGCCTAGTAGGAGAGACGAGAAATACCTCTTGCCAGGAAAGCCTCAGTCAAAGTTTTCAAACTGTTCAAGTGGCTGAAATTTACATCAAGATTATCTAGGACAGGGACGGAATGACAGCTCAGTGGTTAGGCACTTATATGTAACTCAACCAGGTTCATTTCCAGTATCCATATCAGGCAGTTCGTACCTGTTCAGTTCCATGGATCCAAAGGCCTTTGACCTGTGTCAGCATCTGCATACATGTGGTATACATAAAATCACACAGACATGCATATATACACATACAAATAAACCTTAAATTTTGGGGGAATAAAAAAGATCAACTAGGGTAATATTTTTCACTTAAGGTTATCAGATCATGGGCTTTAATCAGGCCCCCAAGTATATACTTGTAGCATGCGGTCAGTGTTGGGTTGGCTACCTAGTAATGTAGGCTTAAAACATCAGAAAATGATCAACAGACATGATTTCAGCTGACAATTTTCATGTCAACTGATAGATAGCTCTATTCCTGAAGAAAGATCGGATATGTGGATCAATTTGTTCTGGTGCCTAAATAGGAATAATATTCCCTTAAAGATGTAAAAATGTACTTTATGTTAATATGCAAGTGTATCAAACATATATAAACATTTAATTTTTTTTCATTGAAATCCTGCTTAAAATCCAATAGTACTCAACTAATCTTGATTGTGAACATTCAATGTTTAAAAGAAAACCATTTAAAATTTCAAAACAGTTTTCAAAAACCTCTTCCCTACAGACTGTCACTTGTTCAACTCCAGAAATGTCAGCCAGCTTTGCTAGGGAACCACTGCCCTACTTTATGCTTTTATTCCCATGTGTGTATGTAAATTCTACCTTCCTTATCAGATGATATGCTTAGCAATTTATTTGTAAATGATGGAAAAAACTTAATTTTACCAAAAATGCCATATATTCCATCATTCTTGGAATGATAAGGATAGTTTTTTTTTCTGTTCTGAATTCAGTAATATGGATACTCTTTTGTTGCCTAAGCACATCTCCGTTTTCCATGATGTCTAGTGAAACTGCACCACAGTGAATGGGAAAACAAACACAACGAAATAAAAGGAGACATGATAATTAAAGTTCCTGGATTTTCTTAAGAACAAAGAAGGAACAGGAAATCTCATTTACTATGATTTGTGTTTATACAGTTGGCAAGAGGACCTTTTTTTCTTCCAACTGACGGCAGAGACACCTCCTAGAGATAGGTCTACAGGATTTGAATGGACAGGAGGCAGTAGTAGCAGAAGTGTAATAAAAATACTGTGATTTTGTACAAAACATAATGACTCTGAAAGAGACAAAATGTCATTTGCCCTATTTTCCTCACTCTGTTAAGTCTGCTATGTGGAATTTCTTGCCTAGAATTTCTTGATATTTATGAACTTTGTGGGATAAATATCTCTTTTTTTTTCTGATTCTTTGTCGATATGCATGGGTTCTTTGAAATTATATATTATTTTAAAATATTAATTGGCTATACTCATACCATTCAAGAAGAGATGAAGCAATTTTTTTTTGTTGTAGGAGTTTAATAAAAGTATTCTTTCTTTAATTTTCATTTGAGGCCAAATGAAGTTTTATTATTTATTATGCTAGATTAGATTTACTTAGCTTTTATTAAAGCTTTATTGTAAAGTACTTGAATCAGAAAAAAAAATCATATGCAAAATTTAACCAGACCCACGTCTATACAGCTCAGTGAATTGTGCAGTTTTAATAGGGATTCTGAAGCTATGGAGTATCATAGTTTTTTGAATTGACACTTAATCTAATAAATTTTTAGTATACCTGCTTTTGTATGTGTAGTGTTCATGACCCTGATGTAATGGTGTTAATGTCAATTTGTAAATCCTTTGAAACACACAGTATCATGCTTCAGTCATCAGTAGTTATTACTATTCATATGGATCTAATATCCATAAACTACAATTTATGTGAATTTATTGTAACAATTCTCCTTAAGCATCTTTTAAAGCCAATAGGAGTAGTATACATAAGAAAGCAATATAGTATATTTCTGATAAAATTAAGATAATATAGGAAAAACTATAATCACATTTATCTTTATTGCTGAAGACATGAGTCTTAAATATGATTTATGATACCTTTGTATTAATTTCTTTCTAACTGCATGGTTTGAATGAAAATTTAATACACTCTGAATAGTTAGTGAAAGTTATTTTTCTTTGTCGATTAATAAAAAAAGTCATAGGGCAGATTCATTCATGAAGTTCCAAGGTTCTTGTGTTGTATTCTTTATTTAATATCATCATAATTATATAAATCTCCAAAATATACCCTAAGGATTTTGTTTTCTTTGCCACTTTGAAAATAATTCAAGGTGTCCTCATGAGTTCAACAGCTTTTACTTAAGCAGACACCTGAAGATTTAATCATGGAAAGATCACCTCTAGAATTAAGGATGAGATTGGGTCCCAAGTCTACTCATTCCCAACTGTGGAATCTAAGTAGAATGTATTAGTTATTCTACTCTTGTTGTAATAACAGACCCTGATTAAAAACAACTTAAATGTTGGAAGAACTTAGATTGGGTCATAGTAAGGAAGTAAAGGAATCCCCAGGTAACTGCTCACATAGTTTGCACAGTCAGGACTAAGTGAGCACTGCATGCCAGTGCTCAGTATCCTATCTCCATTTGACCCAGTGTCCCTGCCCAGGATTTGCCCCACCCACAGTTAAAATGGGTCTTCCTACATAAATTAACCCAAATAAGATCTTCCCTTATAGACATGTTCCGGCACTGAATAATCCTTTAGAGATTTACTGGGAGACTCCTGTAACTCCAGTTGCTTTTGACAGATAGTGTTCGAATTCTAGTATAGAATGGAATTTAATCAGGGCATGGGGAGGGGAGTTAAGATGGTAGTAGAAGCAGAGAAAGAAAGAGTAAAGAAGTAGAGGAGTAGAGGCCGGCCATGAGCACGTGGAGAGAGAGGGGGGAAGGAAATGGGGAGAAAGGAGGGAAGGGGTGAGGAGTCAGAGTGAGAACAAGAAGACAAGAGACCAAGAGAGGTAGGAGGGGACAAGCAGCCCCTTTTATAGTGAGTCAGGCATACCTGGCTATTGCCAGGTAACTGTGGGTGGGGTAGGTAGAGCATACCTGACTGTTGTCACATAACTGTCAGGGTGGAGCTTAGACAGAATGCTAACAGATAGCACTCAACAGCTTTGCATATCATTCTTGTGGTTCAGTCTACTTACTAGCCAAAGAAAATAAAATGTAATGTCAGAAGATTGTGTAGGACATCATGCGTACGTTTATAGAGCACTGACGTTGCCTGGCACGTGCTCCTTCCCTGGTATGAATCTTGCAAATGGTCCTCAGAATTGGAGGCTTAGTCCACATTAGCAGGTCGCTCTGGAGCAGGTTAATGTTTTTCTGTAGTGTGGCTTGGCTATGATTCTTTGGCTCTCATTTAAATACTACAGACTGCTATCGCCACACAACCTTGATCTTACACATTACTTTTCTTTTGTCCAAATTCTCATTACCTTTTATGGCCTATTTGTCTACATTCACTCTTCATGTTCTCTAATGCCACATTTAGAAAGCACATGCAACAAAATATTTTTCCTACTTTTGATACTTAATGGATTCTCCATAACAAAGTTTTAATGAACTATAACAAATCTGCATTACTTCCATCTCCAAACTGAGCAGGAAATGTTATACTTATACTTGTAAAAGCGGAGAGACATTATCAGGGTTCTTGATCATAGACGAGGCTTTGAGGGTTGATGTCAAAGAAGTTGAGTAAAGAATAGTCATTGGCAACTCTTGGTGAAGCGTGAGTCAGAGGGATGTGGAGAGAGAATGGTTAATGACAAGGTATAGCTGGGCAGGAGTAACAATTTCCAATGTTTTATAGCTTACAGGATAAATAATTGACAACAACTGATTGAATATTTCAAAATAGCTAGTAGAGAGGAGTTTGTGTGTTCATAACACACAAAAATGATTTATGTCTAATGTGGTAAACATACCGTGCATCCTAATGTAGTCGTTGTGAAATGTTTGCAAGTGCTGAAACCTCATACTGTATCCCACAAACGTACAAATTTCTATGTGTCTAATTTAAATTGCAAATTAAGGGGAAGCATTGAAAAAAGATTCATAGTTACAATTTTGACACCTTTAAGATTAAAATTTTATAAATTCATCAATTTAGTATAATTTGTTAATTAAAATACATTTTTGAGTTACTCATAATATTCAGGAATGGTCTCAGTGTGGTACTTAGAATAATCAGAGGCTATTCAGATGCGTGGAAAACTTTTTTTTCGACTGCAGTAGATCTTTCTTGCATCTTGCCTTTTTTTCCTTGTCGCTATAGATTATAGACTAATCTTCTTTTCTTATGTTTTTTATGATAATCAGTACTACTGGTA